TGGAGCAGAGACACAGAGAGAGACTGGAGCAGAGACACAGAGAGAGAGAGAGAGAGAGACTGGAGCAGAGACGCAGAGAGAGAGAGAAACTGGAGCAGAGACACGCAGAGAGAGAGAGAGCGACTGGAGCAGAGACACAGAGAGAGAGAGACACTGGAGTAGAGACACGCAGAGAGAGACTGAAGCAGAGACACAGACAAAGACAAAGAGAGACACAGAGAGAGAGAGAGCGACTGGAGCAGAGACACAGACAAAGAGAGACAGAGAGAGAGAGAGCGACTGGAGCAGAGACACAGAGAGAGAGAGAGCGACTGGAGCAGAGACACAGAGAGAGAGAGCGCGACTGGAACAGAGACACAGAGAGAGAGCGCGACTGGAACAGAGACACAGAGAGCGAGAGAAAGACTGGAGCAGGCAGGCACGCGCACGCGCGCACACACACACACACACACACACACACACACACACACACACACACACACACTCTGAGTATAGCACAGGAGCAGGCCCCTTGGCCCTCCAACCCCGCACCAACATACTCTGCCCTTCCATACTAACACCTTCTTCACTTACAGGATTTGTATCCCTCTATTCCCTTTTTATTCATGTATTCGTCTGGTTGCTCTTGTGACTGGTTCCACCACCACCTCTGGCCTGCATTTCAGGCACTCACCACCGTTTATGTGAAAAACTTGTCTTGCACATCTTTTTCAAACTACACCCCCTCACCTTCCCCGCTCCTTGATCCTGTGTCCCCTGCCCCACTACCCCACTACCCCATTGGTCTTGCAGCAGAAACAGAGGAATTCAACAGGCGAATGAGACTCTGAGAATTCTTCCACAAACTCCAAGATTTCAGCAACGAGCCCAATGAGACGACCAACGAACCGGAACAGTCTGCAGGGAAATCAGCAATGCAGCAACCAAAGAAGAAAGAGTTGATTTGGACACCTCTGGAATGCCATTGCCCTAAGCTTGACATGTATGATCAAGCCATCAGGCGATGCGTCAACGTCAGATTCATCAGTTGCGCTGGCAACGTAGCCCAGAGCGTCACCCAAGGCTCTCGGGGCCAACCGCAACATCGTAATCAAACCGGCAAACAAAGGAGGAGTCATCGTCATACAGAACAAAACGGACTACTGCAAAGAAGCATACTGACAACTGAACAACCAGGAACACTGCAGACAGTTATTTGCTGATCCAACCAAAGAACACACCCGTCAACTGAATAGACTGATCAGGACTTTTGATCCAGACCTCCACAGTATCCTATGTGTTCTCATGCTACGTACATCCCACACAGGAGACTTATACTGCCTTCCAAAGATACACAAAGCCAACACAGCTGGACGTCTCAATGGGACTCTGTGTGGGAAATTCTCTGGCTATGTCGAGGGCATCATGAAACCCATTGTACAAGGAACCCCCAGTTTCTGTTGTGACACTACAGACTTCTTACAGAAACTCGGCACCCACGGACTAGTCAAACCAGGAACATTCCTTGTCACAATGGATGTTTCGGCACTCTAAACCAGGATTCCCCCATGACAGCCACAGTACTCAAACCAACAACTGCCAATTTCCAGATGCCATCCTACAACTCTTCAGCTTCATCTTCAACCACAACGTCTTCATCTTTGATAACCAGCTCTTTATCCACACACACAGAATAACCATGGGGACCAAATTTACACCCCAACATTTTCATCCACAAGTTTGAGTAAGACTTCTTTGCTGCACGGGACCTCTGACCAACACTATACACCGCATACATTGATGATATTTTCTTCTTTTGGACTCATGGCGAGGAATCACACACAACTACACGATGATATCAATGAATTTCATCCCACTATCAGACTTAGAATGGACTCTTCAGAATCTTCACAATCAGTCTCATTCTTGGACACTCACATTTCCATCAACAACTGACACCACAGTACTTCACTCTACTGCAAGCCTACAGGCAACTTCACGATGCTGCGCTTCTCCAGCTTCCACCCTAAACATGTTATAGAAGCCATCCCCTACAAGGAAGCCCTGCATATACACAGGATCTGCTCAGATGAGGAGGAACGCAGTGGACATCTACAAATGCTGAAAGACACCCTCATAAGAACAGGAGATGATGCTCACTTCATTGATTGACAGTTCTGACGTGCCATAGCGAAAAACCGCAGGGATCGCCTCAGAAGACAGACATGGGACGTGACCGATAGAGTACCCTTCATTGTCTGGTACTTCCCCGGAGTGGAGAAACTATGCCATGTTCTTTGCAGCCTAAAACCTGTCATCAATGACAGTGAACATCTCACCAAGGCCATCCCTACACCTCTACCTCTCGCCTTCAAATAGCCACCTAACCTCAAACAGACCATCGTTTGTAGCAAACTACCCAGTCTTCAGGAGAACAGCGACCGCAACACCACACAACTATGCCGTGGCAACCTCTGCAAGATATGTCAGATCATTGGCATGGATACTACCATCACGTGGGAGCACCACTCACCATGTACATGGTACATACGCGTGATTCAACCAATGTTGTCTACCTCATATGGTATAGGAATTAATGCCTCGAGGCATGGTATATCAGTGAGACCATGCAGAAGCTACGACAACAGATGGTTGTCGTAGACGGTCACAGCGCCACAATTGACAAGCAGGAGTGTTTCCTCCCAGTCAGGGAACACTTCAGCAGTCAAGGTCATTCAGCCTTGGATTTTGGGTAAGCGTACTCCAAGGCGGCCTTTGAGATACACAACAATGCAGAATCGCCAAGCTGAAACTGATAGCCAAGTTCTGTACCCATGAGGACCGCCTCAACCATAATCTTGGTTTCTTGTCGCGCTACATGTAATCCCATCATACTCTTCTGTATAAAATCTTCCTTACTGCTCTGTTTTGACACCATCACCTTGATAACTTGCTATTATCTATCTACCTTAATTAGTTTGTACTGTTTTGAATTACTTGTTACTTTGGTTAGACCCTCATCATGTGACTCTTATACGTGTCATATTATTTCCAGCTATTTGGTTTGTCTCTAGTACCATCTTATTTTTGACTTTTGTAATTATCTCTCTGCCTCAATTAATCAGATCATTGGTCATCCCTTCACTTGTTATTCAGCTGTTGAAACTTTACTCATACCATTTGACACTTTCGATCACTTACAAAGGCTTGTTATTCAGCCTGTCGACACTCCACTCACACTATTTGTACTTATCTTTTGACGCTCTTAATTACCTGGAATTATCTTGCCATTGTCTCTGCATATAAATTCTGTGCCTGTGCTTCCCTCCTCTTCACCTGATGAAGGAGCAGCGCTCCAAAAGCTTGTGATTTCAAATAAATCTGTTGGACTGTAACCTGGTGTTGTGTGACTTCTGGCTGTCCCCCCAAGTAATTGACCCTCCCTCCCCACCCCGGGGGGAAAAGCCTCATGCTTTCCACTCTATCCATGCTGTTCACAATCTTAAACTTCTATCATGTTGTCCCACAACCTCCTGTGTTCCAGTGAAAACAAACTCAGTCTATCCAATCTCTCTTCATAGCTAAAATCCCACAAACCAGGCAACATCCTGTCTCCAAGGTATCCACATTCTTCTGATAGTGTGGTGAGCAGAACTGTATGCAATATTCCAAGTGTCGCCTAACTAGAGCTCTATAAAGCTGCAGCATAACTTGCCTATTCTTACACCAGTGCCCTTTCCAATGAAGGCAAACATGACATGGGCCTTTTTTTTAAACTACCTGACATTTTCACACAATTCCTATTTCAGCTATTTGTCATCCTTCCATTGGGTTAACAGAACCCAAGTTCTGCTAATGTTTGTATTAAAGGGCACAGGGCATATCCTATGAGGTCATAGCATCATGAACGGATGAATTGCAGCCTCACTTACATCTCCATATCAAAATTGTTGCTTCCCACTAAATGCCATCCCATCTCAATTTTTAAGTTTGAGAAATTTCAGTGTAAATGTTTTGAAGAAGTAAAATGTTTCAAACCAATTTTCAATCTAATTTTTGCGTCTGTTCTTTTTCTTTGGGGCAATTTTAGCATGTCGTGGCAGTTACCAAGAATTTCAGTAACATTGTATTTTGTTGATCTAATGAATGAAAAGTGATAGAATCCATAAGTGAAAGAAATACTCTAGAATTGGATGAATGGGACTTGGTACAGGGCTTGTATCCCACTTTCTAGCTTACTGTGTCTCCTTATTTAAGGAAAATAGTCCTTCGTTTTGAAACATCTTTCCACTGGTTATATGTTGGTGAAAAAAATCGTCTATGGATTGTATGTATTTGAAATATTTTATGTTAAAGTAACAGTTTCTACATTTTTATAGAATACCCTGAAGGGCATGAGCCCATTTAATCAGCCATTAAAGGGACATTTATCATATATGAAGTTACGTGTATAGAGCTGATATGTCTACCTGTTAAAGTTTATATGTAATATTTTAAACAATGCTATCTTTACCATTTTAGGTGATTTATCAAGTATACTTAGAACCAAGTCGAATTACCAGGAGGAGTATTGATCAGCATCTAAGAATAAAAATTGTGTATGATTTAAGTATTGAATAGTAAGTATTATAATTTATCATCTTGACAGCCATTTACTAAAAACTTTACTGACTTTAACTTTTAACATTGATTTTTTTTTTATACTTCTTATATTCTAGTTTACCCGTGGACAAAAACCATTTAGTTAAGGTATGTAAAAAATTCATGCATTCTTCAATATATAACTAGAAAAGTATATTTCAATGGTAAATTGTAATGTACAGGAAATCCATTATTTGGCATTGTTGTTTGTAAGAGGCAAAATGAAATCCAAATGTGCCTCATTCAGATTGAAAATAACACCAAATGTGAGAACAATTACACTTAACCTTATATCATAAAGAAATGTAGCGTTAACGTTTTAAGTCTTTATGGTTCTTTGCTAAAACTCAGTTAAGTTAATAGTACCTTCTTGTCTCCCCCAGTGAGTGCTGTGTGTTCCTAGCATACTCTAATCTTGACTAAGATGTGGTATAGCTAAGTGTTCTGTCTCAGCAAAGCTGCAGAGATGAATTTTTGGGCCTATTTTTCTGGGTGAATCAGTTGTTGATGTTTTCATGTTATTATATTATTCAGGGTTACTACTTGCAAATTTGGATGAAATGTTTTGACTCTACAATGAATGGCACATCAAATCAACTAGATGCAGGAAAATGCCAAATATTTGATCAAACAAAATTAATGAAAAATTAATAACCAGATTATTAAATAAAAAATAATTTGTTTTACAAACCTGTTCAAGGTTAAAAATCATTGATGGTATTTGTAAAACTAGCTTTAGAGAGTTTGGTGCTATAGGCAATATACCAAGACAACTCTTTTTTCAGTCCTGAGAGATTTTAGTGGTTAAGATTAAAATTTACCTAAACAAATGTTGGAATAAAGATTCAATTTTGTTTAACCATTTAATAGAGTACGTACATGTCAAGTATAAAAGGAGATAATATTGTTCACGTTGAAGCAATATTCTGTTTTTAATGGTTCATTTACACTTCAGTTTTCATTAAAGATTGATACCATTGAACTTCAGTGCAGTGAAGGTAATTCATTAGAAGTGTAAGATTTTGGGATTTGGGACCACGGTTGCCTAATATAGGCAATAGACCATCCATACGCAGAAGCAGCATTTTAGATGAGGTGCATTGGTTAATTAGACAGGTAAAGTATATTCCAGATAATTCACTGATACCAGTATCCAAGCAAGGAGTTGCCACAAAGTGCATCAATTTTATTAAATTTGTGAAGACCGAAGCCAATTATCTAGTCAAAGTGTTAGGGGACTCCTCTTTTGAACCACTATGCATCTGAGGAAGACAGCTGCAGGGTGAGTGCTGCCAGTTGATGAGGACAAACTACCCCCATATCTGTGTTGAAATGACCTGTTTCAAAGACATGGCAGTTTCTTTGTCAGTTAACCAGTGGACATGGGACAGCTACTCAGTGTGTCACAATAACTTTTGCTTCCTTGCCTGCCTCCAACTCAGATTCAGCTTACAGTACAGAAGAACAGACTATTCTGTTTTCCTAAACACCGCAAATGACTACAATTCAATTACTCAACATTAGAACAATAATCACCTTCTTGTCCACCCAAGCCCTAGATCAGCTTACATTTTTCTGGCCATAAGAGACCTGGTATTCATTATAACATTTATCTGTAACTTGCCTTTTGCCCTTGTTTGTTAGAGATTGTTTGTGTTTGGACACGACGAGAGACAGGTTTGATGTTGTCTGAGCTAAATTTATTTAAAGTTTCAAACTTAGCAAAAGGAAATTAGAAAAATGAGGGCCCCCAATTTTCTTACAGAAGACAATTTAAGCAAATAATATGAGACAAACACAATGTGTTCAATAACTGTGAAAAAGGATGTGGATCTGTCACAGGTGAGTGACAAGAAACAAGAAGATTGCAAATTTTGAGATAAGTTTATTTAAAAAAATTGTTTTACATGGTAGAAAATCTAGCACTGTTCTCAGATCCCTGTCCGTATCTTACTTTGTTATTATGTGGTTGCTTTGTTCATTTGTTTCAATTTTTATCATCTTTGTTACATTATTTTGTACCAGTTTTGTGAAAATATTCATATGGTGAAGTGTATTTTTTTTTGACCATGATGGTACACAAGCTCAGTCTTGAGTATTATGAGTGAAACATATTCCGTAATGTTGAGTAATGAGCAAGTAAACAGGGAAAGCTGACAGGGCAAGACTCCATGTAGCTAGAAAGATTAGGATTCTGTTTAAATTACCCTATCATCTCCATTCCCCTTCTAACTAGTTTTTCATAATACTGCTTACTCTTTTTTGCAAACAAATGTTTTCCACACTTGAAATTAGCTAGCAAATTTTTTTAACTTTTACTTTCTTCATACCCTTAAACGTCCCTTTACATCTCCTCAACTGACATTTTACTTTTGCTTCTGCCAGCAATAATTTTTATACTTCCCCACTTATTCTGTATTCTGAAAGATTTGTCCAAGACACAAACTGTAGTATAAATGCTACTTTTCTAAACTTGAAAATGTAGTGTGATGTTGACATTAAGAACTTCCTTCATAATTTACATTCCCTGAAATTATTGTGGGAATTATGTTAAGGATGAAAATCCATCTTTTAATAGTAGTTACCTGTCAAATTACTATTAGTAATGTTGGAAGATTCCTTTGTTGTTATTGTTGCAACAAAGGTTTGTTAGTGTGGCAACAAAACCTAACGATTTGTGTGTGAGTTGGTTCTATAATAGAAGTCTCTATTATAATGACTAATTTGATTTTCCCTTTGTATTATTTCAATGTCAGCTAATATAACCTAGTCCTCAGGTTCTGACTACCTCTGACAATACTCCCTGATGTCAGAGACAGAACAGGGTAGGGGAATCCAAACTAGAGGGCATAGGTTTAAGATGAGATGGAAAGATATAAAAGGGACCTAAGGGGCAACGTTTTCACACAGAGGGTGGTGGTGGCATGGAATGAGCTGCCAGAGGTAGTGGTGGAGGCTGGTACAATTACAACATTTAAAAGGGATCAGGATGGGTACACGAATAGGAAGGGTTTAGAGGAATATGGGCCAAATGAGACTGGATTAATTTAGGATACCTGGTCGGCATGAAACAGTTAGACTGAAAGGTCTGTTTCCATGCTGTACAACTCTATGGATCTATATGACTTTAATTCCTGGAGTGACCAGCCCCCATCCATACACCCTTTGTGACAACAATGTTCTTGACTCTCAAATGCTGCAAAGTTAAAAACTTGTTTATATTTTATTCTGTACCACAACCTTGACCTTTGCTTATATAAGACATAGTTTGAATGTTTATCTTATCTCAGCTTATATTCCATTCAGTCTTTCCCTCTGTGAGGCATGTATTTTTGGAAGTTTATTAAATTCTTAAAACCAAATGTTTGCTCTGTTTCCTGTACTGTTGTCCATTTATACAGATATAATTAATGCTGGAATTGACTGACTTTTTGAATCACTTAAATTACTTCATAGAATATTTTTATTATTTAATAATTAAATATCCTGTCTTGGCATACATAAATAAAACAAAAACTGCTGGTTACAACTTCTGATGGAGCAGCCACCTTGTGTTCCATCCTGTTGCAAACTGATCACTTTCCGAGCTCAATGTGATTTGTAAATGTGTACATTTTGATATCTAAAGTTATTATGCTCTGTCATTCAATTTTTTTAATAAGAAGAGTAATATAGTTCTATCATTCTACATAATGAGATTTTACTAAGTTTTGGATATGATGAGCAAGTTTAAATTTATTCATAAATACTATTAGATCAACAAAAATATACAAAAAATATAATTTTCTACGTTGGATCTGTAAAGTGACTTTAAATGATTCAGTTTGCTAAGCATTTTGATATAATCCTAAAATGCCTGAGTAATTATTCCCCAGTTTGTTCCTGATAGTTTATGAGTTAAGATATCTTTGCTGGTGGTAACTTTTACATACAATTCTGCCAGACTAATAAGCGGTGGTTACATAGACGTTATTTACAACATGCATGTAGGCTTTTAAGCTTTTATGTGTTGTGTTATTTTCATATTTGTAATTGCTCTCAAAGTGCTTCTAAGTGAAATTAAAGAACCAATATTTTGTTTGAAGAATTACAGGTAATAAGGATGCTCAGCTTTACTTTTTTTCCAGAATAATGATCAGGTACAGTGCTGACCTATTGCCAAACAAAAACTCACTTATGTTGCAATATTGACCTGATTTTTGCAGTCTGAGATCTAGTATTTTACTTCTATATTAGGAATAACAGGAAATAAAGATTATTTTTGATTGTTAATTTGTGCATTATCCTTGTCAATGCCTTTACCAATCAGAGTCCAATTGCCAAGCAAGCAATACTCGCATTCATTCCATATAAATATTGCCTTTCCCCTTGGAATTGTACTCTTGCAAATCGTCCTGCTGAGCACCAGATGAAAATTTAAACAAAATGTGTCTTTGGTTTCAGCACTTCTCCAGTTCAATCCTGCCAAATGACTATTTATCTCTGTTTCTTTTCCATATTAGAATAAACTGTTCCCAAAAGCAATTAAATATTTACAAGAAACATTCCAAGTTCGTAAAGTAGTTGGCCCAATTCTGCTAAGCAGGTATGGTGAGAATCTGTTGTCTTTAAAATCTACCATTTTAAAGTTTTTGATCTTAGGAAAAGAATCCGTATTTTTGAAAACAAAGAAGTTAGGAGCAGAATAGCCCATTTGGCCCTTTGAACATTCTTTGACATTCAACATGATTTTAGCTATTCCTACATCTCAATATCGTATTCCCATTTTCTTTCCATATCCCTTAATACCCTTTTAATATCCAAAACTTTATCAATTTTGTTCTTGAATATACACAGTGACTTGGCCTCCACATCCTTCTGTGGTCATGAAGTTGCGACTGAAGAAGTATTCCTTTATCTCAGCCCTAAATAGTCTACCCTGTATCCTGAGCCTGTGATCCCTGGTTCTAGACTTCTCAGCCAGGGGAAACATCTTCTCTTGTTACAACTTTATATGTTTAAAATCAGATCCTCTCTCATTCTTTTCAATTCTAGGAAATATAGACATGGTCAAACCAATATTTTCTCATTTGACAGTCCTGCCATCCCTGATATCAGCCTGCTGAACCTTTGCTGCATTCCTGTGGCAAGGATATCCTGTCATAGGTACGAAGCCCAAAACTGCACACAGTTTTCTGGTTGTGGTCTCACCAAGACCTTCTATAATTGCATTAAGACATTCCTATTTCTAAACTCCTCTTGTGATGATGGCATTCCTAATTGTTTGTTGCAACTGTCTATTTACTTTCATTAACTGGTTCAGAAAGATAGCCAGATTCCTTTGTATATCCATATTTCCCAATATAATCTCAATTTAATAATCTTTCTTTTGGTTTTTCACAATAAAGTGTATAACTTCACATTTATCAGCATTCGACTGTTTGTTTTATGTGTTTGTCCACACACTGAACTTACCTCGATTTCCCTGAAGTTTCTTTGAATCCTCCTCACAACTCTCAGTCCCACCTAGTTTTGTGTCATTAGCAAATTTGGGAATATTAGAACATAGAACGTAGAACAGTACAGCACAGTGCAGGCCCTTCGGCCCATGATATTGTGCCGAACTTTTACCCTAAACCTAAGGTCTATCTAACCTCCACCCCCACCTTATACTGTCATCCATATGCCTATCTAATAGCCACTTAAATGCACTTAATGAGGCTGACTCTACTATCCTCTCCAGCAATGCATTCCACGCCCCTACCACTCTCTGAGTAAAGAACCTACCTCTGACGTCTCCCCTATATCTACCTCCACTCACTTTAAAACTATGCCCCCTCGTAATAGCTACCTCCACCCTAAGAAAAAGTCTCTGGCTGTCCACTCTATCTATACCTCTGATCATGTTGTACACCTCTATCAAGTCACCTCTCATCCTTCGTCATTCTAAAGAGAAAAACCCTAGCTGTCTCAACCTTTCCTCGTAAGACCTTCCCTCCATTCCAGACAACATCCTGGTAAATCTCCTCTGCACCTTTTCCAATGCTTCCACATCTTTCCTGTAATGAGGCGACCAGAACTGGACACAATACTCCAGATGTGGCCGAACCAGGCTTTTGTATAGCTGGAGCATAACTTCACGGCTCTTGAACTCAATCCTCAATGAAAGCTAACACACCATACACCTTCTTAACAACTCTATCCATCTGGGTGGCAGCTTTCAGGGAACTGCAGACATAAACCCCAAGATCCCTCTGCTCCTCCACACGGCCAAGAATCTTTCCGTTAACCCCGTATTCTGCTTTCAAGTTTGTCCTTCCAAAATGAATCACCTCACACTTTTTAGGGTTAAACTCCATCTGCCACTTCTGAGCCCAGCTCTGCATTCTGTCAATGTCCCTTTGTAACCTAGAACAGCCCTCCATCCTAGCCACAACTCGACCCACCTTCGTATTGTCCGCGAACTTACTAATCCACCCTTCCACTCCTACATCCAAATCATTTACAGTTTGGTTCTGTCATCAAAGTAATTTATAGTGAATAGCAAGCACTGATCCTTGCAGTACACCACTAGTCTGCCATCTGGAAAATTACTCATTAACTAGATTGCCGGATAAAATGCAGTAAACGGTAGTTTTTCACTTATGGAAACCAAGTTCACATCCAAGCCACACTAACAGATGAGAAGCCTGTACTTACTGGCTGGAAAAATCTCAAATGAAATGAGTTTGGATGCTTCCATTCAAACTGTTAATAGTCACACCATGCTGAATTGACATTCTTAGGTTAGCAGCTATCATAAATGGAAATGTATTGAAACTCTGTTGAAGAGGGGCCAAGACACGTTGTTAGGATGCTGGAAAAGAGACTTATTCTGCAATTAACTGTGCTGTACCTGACCTGTGAGTGCTTGATGTTAAATCGAAATATCCAAAGTAGACAGTGTTCTGTTCACCAGCACTGACATGCTCACCATTATGAGTACAAATGCATCTCAATCCAAAGTGTATTCTGTTCACATTTTTGTGACATAGACTAATCTAAGATTAATGTGTTTAAGTTTTTAACTGCTGTTTTTTTTGAAACAGCTCAACTAATTATAGTAATAACTGTTCACTGACCATCTATCATGCAGAAATACTAAATAAAAATTATATATTGATGGAATAAATAATTGCTAATATATAGATTCCATTACTCTGCATGTAAGCATGTAATTAGTATTTAACATTTATTATTAACCTTTCTAAGCTAAACTGTTAATGTTTTCTGCAAGGCCATGTGCAACCAATCAGTATTTAAGAAAGAAGGATGACCCACACATGTATTGTCAAGGCGCCTGTGCTGACATTACAAGATGCGGCCCAGTAGTAGTTCCAGAAGAACATTTACAGGTAAAACCCCTGCAGTTGTGGACTTTATATGTACTAGTGAAGTCAGCTTAATTTTTTTTAGACATCACATTGGTCTTAGCTTGCAAGAGTTAAGTTTTGCATTTGGAGAGTATTTTCACCCTATTTGATATCCAGTGATGTTGAACATAGAGAGTCATTCTGCACAGTCAAATGAAGTTGGGTGCCAGAATAATTGGATTAGAACTGAGATAATACTCAGAGTTAGAAGAGGTTTGGTAGAATAAAAGCACTGGTAGGAGGAGTAAGGTAACTGAAGCAAGAAGGTGGAGCACAGTGACATTTTGCAGAGGCAAGCAAAGTTTAGAGGAAGAACCTAAAGTAGGATTTTAAGCCTCTTATGGGAGTTAAGGTACAATACAGTTTGAGGCCAGTAGATGAAGAAACTAACACAAAGGAAGAGGTTAGAGGACAGCAAGAGGTCTGCTGGAAGAGTGCTGAAAAATATTGGAGCAATCTTATGCCCAGGGAAAGCAGTTCACGGACAGGCACTGAGATTAATGTGCTGTCCAGACGCTGTGCAGGAGCTGAGAATGATAAGCAGGAGATGAGGAAGGTTGCCTGTATTACCTTTAAAATGATATCCCTCACTTCTCACTTCAATACACAAATAGCCAGTTGTTTACTGAAAGAACAACTAAAGAAACCTTAATTTGTTCAGAAAATGAATTCCCAAAACAGGTGAGGTGGAAGAGATTTGACCAAGGATAAAAACAGAAGTTACTGGAGAAACTCAGCAGACCTCAACAGGGGAGGTGATGGCCTAGTGGTATTATCACTGAACTGTTAATCCACAGACCCAGGCAATGTTCTGGAGACCAGGATTCAATTTGAATTCAATCACAATTTAGAATTAAATATTTCACAATGACCAAGAACCCATCGTCGATTGTGGGAAAACCCATTTGGTTCACTAATATCCTTTATGGAAGGAAATTACTATCCTTAACTGATTTAGATTACATGTGACTCCAGACACAGCCATGTAGTTGACACTTAACTGCTGTCGGGGATGGGCAATAAATGCTGGCCTAGCCAGCGACACCCTCGTTGAATGAATGAATAAAAGAGAAAACTGGACGTTTCAGGTTCAGTGTCCCTTCTTCAGAATTGTATAATTCTGAAGAAAAGTCACTGGACCCGAAACACTGACTCTGCTTCCTTGCAACAATGCTGCCAGACCTGCAGAGTTTTTCCAACAACTTAGTTCTTATTTCAGATTTGCAGGATCTGCAGTTCTTCGTTTTTTGTTTAGAAGTTGACCAAGGAGATGGATAGGGAGAGAACCTGGAGGGGCTGGGTCCAGGGAAAAGATAAGAATGAGGACAGGCAAAGAGTGTGGTAGTGTGGATAGAGATTGCTTGAAGAATGATAAAGAGAATTGGGAGAGGAGAAAGGGGTGAGGAAGGTGGACGAGAAGCAAAGTAGTTAATACCAAGAGGAGAGCAGATGGTGGAGTGGAATGGGAAAGTGAGGAAGAGAGTGAATGATTGGGAAAATTTTCCGCAGCTCCCTTAGATAATTTTTGGAAGCAGGGTAGGGGGAATGAAAGGAAAAAGATCAATTTCCATTTTGTTGAATGGGCTGCCTAAAATAGGGTCAGTTTACCATGAATTACCAAGGGAAAATCAAAACTTTAATATTGTCTTTGAGTGGAGAGGTTCTCTATTTTCTGGCGTTTGAACACCATGCAGAAAATTACTTAATTGGGATGAAAGCAATGAATTGAAACAGAATTGTAGGAAAACTAAATATTTACAATGTGTTTGAATTTTCTTTTTTTAATTGTCTCTAGTAAATATGACCATTGATGAAGTCTATGCAAGCTCAAAATGTTTATGGGAGCCTTGCTGTCGGCTAGATTCATTACTACAAAATGACAAGACAATGAACTGTTTCGCCCAAACAATTTGTGTCAAGAGTTTGTCAATCATACAAGAATTGTACAAAGTTATGTGCTTGCTGTTTTTAATTCTGCTTTGATAACAAATTCCAGTAGCTATTCCACAGCCTACCAACCCTTCATAGATAACTTTATTGAATTGAATGTTTTTTTGTAAATCTGCTACTCTGATCCCTCAAGCAATAGAATCTACTCCTATTCTATGCCTATCCCGTCATTATTTTAAACATTACTACCAAATCAACTCATTCGTTTTCTCTGTTCATTGAAACCAGTCCCAATTTTAATTAATATTTGTATTTTTTTATGTCCGTCATCATCCTGATGAATTTACAGTACATCCCTTTGCTTCAACTTTCTTTCCATTTAGCGAAACTTAAAATTACAAACAATGGCGGCTCACCACCACCTTCCTCCAGGGCAGTTGGGGATGGACAATAAATATTGGCATAGTCAGTGAATCCTATATTCATGAATAAATAATAAAATGGTGCAGAGAAGGAATAATAAAAATAAAGCTATTAAAACTGATTCTGTTATGATTTTATATGGAACCACTATTGCATCTTAACATTTTTATTCTAGACCTCTTGCCATATTATCCAGTATTCAGTTTGTATTTCATGGCTTTATCTAATTGATGAGTTGCTTATCCTTTAAGCCTGTGCTTCCAAATTTCTCTGTAATTCTACGAATCCATTCTTCATCCATTTAAGATATTACTTCAGTATTTTAAATGAAAACAAATTCCTGCACAGTTTGTCATTGGATTCTATCTGCCACAATTTTCGCCATTCTGTCATCTTATCGTTGTCCGCCTAGCAATTGTATGTGAATCCTCAAGATTATTTATTGTGCACCCTCGTTAGAAGATGGAGAGTAGGCATAGGAATAGATAATTCAGCCCCTCAAACCTGTCTCACCATTTAATATAAGTATGGCAGATCACATAGAATCATACAATGTAGTCCACGCCAATCATTTTCCCAAACTAAACTAGTCTCACCTGCTTGTGTTTGGCCCATATCCCTCCAAACCTTTCCTATTCATGAACTTATCCAAATGTCCTTTAAACATTGTACCTGCATCAACCACTTCCTCTAGCACTTCATTCCACACACTAACTATTGTCTGTGCAAAAAGGTTGCCCCTCAAGTCCTTTTTAAATCCCTCTCCTCTCACCTTAAAAATATGCCCCCTAGTTTTCAACTCCCCCAGCCTAGGGTGCTATTCACCTTATCTATGCCCCTCATTTTATAAACTTCAATAAAGTCGCCCCTCAGCCTCCTATGATCCAGTGGAAAAAGTCCAAGCCTTTTTAGTCTATTCCAGTTTATTTTTATATCTCAAACCCTCCATTCCCGGAAACATCCTGCCAAATCTCTACTGAACCCTGTCTAGTTTAACAATACCTTCCTTTAACAGGGCAACTAGAACTGCACACCGTACTCCAGAAGAGGTCTCATCAACATGCTGTACAACCTCAACATGACATCTTAATGCCCATACTCAAAGGTCTGAGCAATGAAGACAAGCATGCTAAACGCCTTCTTAATCATCCTGTCTACTTGTGACGCAAAGTTTGAAGAATTATGTACCTGAACCCCTCGGTTCCTGTTCTACAAGACTACCCAGGGCCCTGCCAGTAATTGTATGAATCCTGTCCTTGTTTGTATAACCAAAATGCAATACTTCATGTTTATCCAAATTAAACTCCAGCTGCCACTCCTTAGCCTGTTGACCCAAATCCACTTTCTTGCTTGCTGCTCATAACCCTTTAACCCATCAGCCTATCTTCTCCTTAAACATGTTCAGTGTCCACCACACTCTTGGGTAGTGAATTCCACTGATTCACAACATTTTGAGAGAAGTAATTCCTCCTCATGTTTATTTTAAATCTACTGCTCCTTACCCTAAAACTGACCTCTTGTTTTGGATTGCCACACAAGGGGAAATATTGCTCTCAGTCTACTTTGTCAATCCCCTTTAGTTTTGTAGATGCCTCAATTAGATTTACCCTCATTTTTGTAAACTCTAAGCTTGTTTATTTAAGCCTCATTTAAGCCTAATTCAATAGCATCCGCAAATTTGTATCCTACTTTCTTTACGTGTGTATCAAAATCACATCACTTCCTATCTACCTGTACTCAAACAACTTCTTTGGGACACTACTGCTCATTTTAATCATCGTGGTAGACTGCCCATAACTCCGATGTTTCCTTCTCCTATAAAACTTTTTGATTAAATTGCCAACAATCTGGCGAAAGGAACTGAAGACAAAGTTGCCAAGTTTGCAAAAGACACAAAGATAGCTGGAGGGACAGTAGGATTGAGGAAGCGGGGAGGTTCCATAAAGACTTGGACAGGCTAGGAGAGTGGGCAAAGAAATGGCAGATGGAATACATTGTTGGAAAATGAGAGGTTGTGCACTTTAGTCGGAAGAATAGAGGCATAGACTATTTTCTAAATGGGGAAAGACTTTGGAAATCTGAAGCACAAAGGGACTTAAGAGTTCTCGTTCAAGATTTGTTTGAGCTTAACATGCAAGTTTAGTTGGCAGTTTGGAAGGCAAACGTGACATTTGTATTCTAGCCCTCTTGAAATGAATACTAGAGCAGAAATGTACTGCTCAGACTGTATGAGTCTCTGGTCAGACTGCATTTGGAATATTGCAAGGAGTTTTGGGCCCCATTTCTCGGGAAGGATGTGTTGGTATTGAAGGGGATCCAAGGAGGTTTGCAAGAATGATCCCACAGAATAGGTGGCTTGTCACATGAGGAATGGTTGAGGAAGCTGAGTCTGCAGTCAGTGGAGTTTAAAAAGATGAGGGGCTATCTCATTCAAACTTACCGAATAGTGAAAGACATGGATAGGGTGGACATGGAGAAGCAGTTTCCACTTGTATGAGAGATTAGGACCCAAGGGCACAGCTTCAGAGTGAAGAGATGACCTTTTAGAACTGAGATGAGGAATTTCTTCTTCAGAACTCATTGCAGCAGAAGGCAGTGGAGGTCAAGTCATCAAATGTCTTTAAGACAGAGATAGCTACGTTCTTGATTAGTGAAGAGATCAAAGGTTACAGGGAGAAATCAGTAGAATGTGGTTGGAAAACAAATCAGCCATGATCAAATTCTTCTCCTAAATCTTATGTCCATATATTCCCTAATTTAATTCCCATCAGTCTTCCTATAGTTCCTGTTTGGGTGTTTTTGAAGGTCATTTGAAAATTCATACAGGCAATATTCATTGTATTTTCTTGTTGCATTATGCCTATAATGTCAAAGATTCTCACGGGATTTGTTGAGCATGATTTTGTTTCTGAAATCTACATTGCATGCTTCTAATTATTTTTGCTTCATCTAGATATTAATTTTACCTATAAAGATGCCAAAATTTTCTCTATCATATATGTTAATCTACCTGACCCATAATTATCTGTCTCTGTGTATATTTTTGAAAATGGGCATGAGATTGGTCGTTCTCAAGCTCTTCAAATCTCATCCACTCTTAATAGAATCCTGAATTTTAGGACAGAATTTAATAGGTGCAATCGGTACCTTGTCCACGGCTCAGAAAACTGCCTTGAACCCTGTGCTGCTTCCCTCTAGAGACCTATACAATTACCAAATAATTAGGGAGTTATCTGGGCAGAAGTATGTATCTCCAGATTGGTGATTATGGTTGGATGGGAGTCGCCACGATGATCACTGTCTGGGTTTGTAAATAAGGGTGGGTGTGCCTTTCTTTGAACCCTCCCTGATTTTTGAAACAGAGTTTGGTGAGTGACCGATTAAGATAACAAGTCCTTCATGACTGTTGGTCGCACACCAGCAGGTTAAAAGCAGGATACTGCTGTTGCTGGAAATCTGAAATGCATGCAGAGAATCTTGAGAAACTTAACGGTCTGGCAGTATCTGTGAAAAGAGAAACAGAATTAACATTTGCATCTAATATGACTCTTAATTCTGCCCATAATTTCTAGTTAGACAGAAACGATGACAAACGTGTCATCTACTCAACCCAGGAATTCCTTAATAACCTCAAGAACATTAAAATCAATGACGATGAGATTATGGTATCTTTTGGCGTCACAGCACTATTCACGTCCATTGCCATACCACGAGCCAAACAAACACTTGCCACATTACTGGATGCAGCAGAAACCCCACCTCCAAACAGTTCCATCAGCAAAGACAACATACTCAGACTGCTGGACCTATGCCTCACCACACACTTCATCTTTAACGGCCAAATATACAAACAAATCAATGACATACCTATAGGGTCACCCATCTCAGGGCTTATTGCAGAGGCAGTCATGCAAAGACTGGAACACACTACACTCCCCGTCATACAGTCAAAACTGTGGATCCGATCCATGGGATGACACGTTTGTCATCATTAAACACACCAAGTTACAAGAGACATAACCATGTCATCAACAACGTTTTCACTGGGATCAAATTTACGAGAAAAGAGGAAGACAACAATCAACTTCCGTTTCTATATTTCAGGGTAGAATGAGTGACCAACGGAGAGTTCCAAACAAACAGTATATAGGAAGGCAGTCCACACTGACCAAATCCTCAATTTCCTCAGCAATTACCCCAAAGTCCACAAACAAAGCTGTGTTAGGACACTATTCAAATGGGCCAGAAATACGCAGGAAGGAGGAAGAGCACCTACACAAGGTCTTTGTTAACAATGGATATCCCGACAACTTCATCCACAGGTGCCAATGAGGTAGACAACGCCTAGAGGACACAGTACTCCCCAGTGCACTAGCCGCACTACCCCAAATCAAGAACGTATCAGAACTGACAACGAGACTCCTGTGACCACTAGGAATCATGGTAACACACAAACCCACAGCCATACTATGGCAAACACTCATAAGGACCAAAGACCCCATACCCATGACGTGCAGGGCCAACTTAGTTTACAAAATACTTTGCAATGATTGCAACAAACATTGCATTGGCCAGACCGGAAGGAAACTAGCCATCGCGATACACAGATACCAGCTAGCAGAAAAATGACACAACGAACTTTCCCTCATCTCAGTGCACTCGGACAACCAAGACCATCAATTTAACTGGGACAACATGACCATCCTAGCTCAAGCCAACCACAGACACGCATGGGAATTCCTAGAGGCCTGATTTTCAACCCTGAATGTAATTAACAAACCAGTGGAATTAGACCCCATATACAAACCCATGCAGAACAGAACTGGAAATGACACAACCCAACTTAACAGACTGGATCATATAAATACCAAGCAGAGCAGAACAACATCATTTCATCGGAGGCCACACTGATGATGTTACCTAGCATGG